GCCCGAGAGGGTTTGTTCCAAGCAGGGATTCCATTCTCATTACGCACATTGACCGGAAGCGTCTTTGCAACCGAGTCATGTGTAAAGTGAGTGCTATTCTCCCATGGTATATCGCTGTTGAGTTGTAGGGTGTAACCGACAGAGACCAGCTAGCGCATCCGACGCCGTCCGAATGCTTCTTCACGCCATCCCCAACTTCTACATCGCAAACTGCCACTCCAGCGGCTCACGAGGCCGCGCGGCGCCGCCCATCTCGCAACGAAGCGCGGCCATTCTCCGAGAACACACGACTTTCTCTCTACACACGGTCCGTCCGACACGTCCTCGCAGCCTGCGCTAGTGCAGAAGGTACAACTCGGCCTACTCACAGCCGCCATGACAAACTCTGACGCCCAGCGACATCTACATCTATTGGTCCAGCACATGGCCAGGTACCTCTCATCATTTGCTTTCGCAAAAAGTCGCAAGAAGACTCATTACTTCTCCGAGTTCCTCCATACCCGACGAGCATGAGCATCACGCCATGGTTCACTCACTGATGCAAACTCCCACGAGTCTGGTCTGTATAAAGGCACCTGGCTGTAGTGCATGGGGTAGGAACAGCGACAACCAAGATGATTCCCCAAACGTCCTCCACAAGCTTCTACAAGTAAGTGATATATCCGTGCTGGCGATATTGGAGCGTTGAGTGACGTTTGATAACAGGGAGCCCGAATTCGAGACTCTCCAGCTGCACGCGGGCCAGGAAGTCGACTCTGCTACGAACGCTCGTGCCCCTCCCATCTATGCCAGTACCAGCTTTGTGTTCAACAGCTCCAAGGTCTGTCATCATAGCCAATGATTCTATAGACCGCGAGACTTAGTGCGCCATATTGCCACAGCATGGTGCGGATTTGTTTGGCCTGAGGTATGTCGACATCGCCTGTGCTTCAATCAGATGCTCACATCAAGCTAGGTCTTTCGGTAACATCTACTCGCGCATGGGAAATCCAACCGTAGTGAGTTACCCGTCTTTCTCCAGCTATATGGTATGGCGAACTCATCAGGCAAACAGAGCGTCTTCGAGAGGCGCATGGCTGCACTTGAAGGCGGGGTAGCTGCTGTTGCAGCCTCCAGCGGACATGCGGCGCAGTTCATGGCGATTGCTGCCATCTGTCGTGCAGGCGACAATATCATCTCGTCGTAAGTATCCGGCTACCCGAGCCTTACGTTCGCTGACCAAAGTCATCTATGTCTGTAGTTCGTACCTCTATGGAGGGGTGAGCGTATCCGTACCCTATGGATTCTGTCCTGCATGCTGACAATGTCCGCTCAATCTCGAAAGACCTACAACCAATTCAAAGGTAAGACGTCCCGACGTAGTTTGTGTGCACTTCCCTCGACCCAGCCACCCCAGTGTTCCTCAAGAAATTCGATATCACCGTCAAGTTCGTCAACAGTCAGGAACCGACGGCCTTCGCGGCCGCTATAGACAGCAAGACGAAGGCGATCTACGTCGAGAGCATCGGGAATCCCAAGAACACCGTAGCACTTCTGCCAGAGATAGCCAAGGCAAGACAGCTGCCTTCGACTCCGCACTCTCCGCTGACGAAAGGCATGTTAATAGGTTGCCCACGACAATGGTATTCCTCTCATCGTCGACAATACTTTTGGCATGGGCGGTAAGCCTTGTTCCCGCTCGCGCAGTTCGTTCTCCCAACAGTCGTATCTCATCTCATGTCACAAAGGCTACCTCATCAGGCCCATCGAACATGGCGCCGACATCGTGACCCACAGCGCGACCAAGTGGATCGGCGGTCATGGCACAGTACTCGGAGGCGTGGTCGTCGACGGCGGCAAGTTCGACTGGGCGGCGTCGGGCAAGTTCCCTGACTTCACCGAGCCCGCCGAGGGGTACCACGGCATGCGCTTCGTTGAGACGTTTGGTCGCGCTGCGCTCGCGGTGAAGGTCCGCCTGGACGTCCTTCGCGACATGGGTCCGGCGATGGACCCGTTTGCCGCCTTCCTCTTGTTGCAAGGCTTGGAGACATTAAGCTTGCGTGCTCAGAGGCATTCTGACAATGCACTTGAGCTCGCTCGGTATGTATCTGTATAATCACCGCGCTAGGAAGCTCTTCAAATCGCTATCCGTAGGTGGCTCGAGAAGCATCCGAAAGTCGCCTGGGTGTCGTACCTCGGGCTCGAGTCGCACGAGTCGCACAAGGATGCGCTCCGCCTCCTCCGCCCGAACGCGTTCGGGGGCATGCTCACGTTCGGCGTGAAAGGCGATGCTCAGGTCGGCAGCGAGGTGGTCGACAAGATGAAGCTGGCGAGTAACCTCGCTAACGTTGGTACGTTGCCCTCTCCTTCGTCACGTTGCCCTGCTCACGTTCGATTCTAGGCGACGCGAAAACCCTCGTGATACACCCTGCAAGTACGACTCACCAGCAGCTCGGTTCCGAGGAGCAGCTCGCTTCTGGCGTGACTCCGGACCTCATCAGAGTAGGTGCTGGACTACGAACACAGCCATAACCTTTTTGTCCTCATCACCCGGGCTTGCACTGGGTCATCCTAGGTTTCGGTCGGCATAGAGAACATCGCCGATATCATCGCCGACTTTGACAACGCTCTCAAGGTCATAGCGTGAAGGATTGGTACAACAGATGGGATGTATTGGGTCAGCTACGATTATACGTGGTATGATGACTGGATATGAAGAAATGGAACACAAGGAGGACGTGAATATGATTGTACTGTAGACAAATGCGAGCCCATGCGAGCGTCGTATTCCGACAGAGCGTGGGTGGGAGAAAAGAGAGGGCAGATAAATAATGAACCCGACTACACTGCATGAACCACGAGAGGAGAAAGGGACGCACGAGCAGGAATGAAGTGAGGAGGGAGTAGGTAGCGAGGGATCAAAGGGTATACTATCAGGACGCTCAGCGTCGCGTTTACCCGACAAACGAGGGATGAACGGAATAACGATAACCTGAGCGTGCAGCCGAGAGGTCTCATTGGACGTCCTCGGGAACGTCATAGCCGGCGATCGGAACTAAGCCCTCGGCAGTGTAGTAGTCCTCCTGCGGGAGGACCACCTTCGGGACGACCTTGATCTCGAAGAGCGCGAGCTCCGCAGCGCTGAATGCCTCCCGCGCATGTACAAAGTGGCTGGGAGCTTCGCCCTCGACTTCGAAGTCGACGGCGCTGGAAAAACGATGCGGATTTAGCCACCAAACATCGTCCTAGTATAGCCACAGTAGCGCTTACCTGGTCTCGAGATCGGCGACGGTGATTTTGTCGGACGAGAACAGATACATCTTCGACTCGTCGGAGCCCAGCAAGGTAGACTCCGAGTCACCAGTAGAGTGAGAAGCCTTGGAAGCTTTGTCGGAGTCATCCGCATGCAGTCTCAACAACTCGTCCTCGACCTCGGTAACGAGCGAGACGTGTAGGTCGTCAGGAAAAGGCGCCAGGACGCGCTACACCGAATAGTGAGTGAAGCAGGCTCAGACAGCTTGCGGTGTGGCTAACGTACCGGAAGGCTCTTGCGAGCGCAGCGCCTCTCGACCTCCTTCCGGGAGCGGCGGCGGAGTCGGTTAGAGCCGGCGGCCACAACTCCAGCCTTGTGGTTGCTCGCGAGCTTGGAGAAAGTGGATTTGACCTTGGAGGCCACAGGGGCGAGCTTTTGGGTCTTGACGGAAGCCAAGGACTTGCCAACAGCGGAAGCAATGACAACAGTGAGGGTCACCATGGTAGTGGGACTGCTGGGGTTTAACAGGGTAAGAGAGGAGGGGGGGGGGGGGGGCTTTTATGCGGGGGAGCGCAGCACAAATCTCAGTAAACAAGATAGCGATTGTCGCCCGGCGGGCAGGTGAGCGGGGCAAGGGGCATTATCAGCC